ATCTCAATTTAAGGACATTAAAGAATCAATAGATGGTGCAGTCCATCTTCTCCAAGCGCACTATTCGCAACTTGCCTTGCTGGAAACAAGACGGTGCCACAGAGGATGAGGTGCACCAGTTACAAACAACGATTCGTCAACAGCATAATACTCTGACCTCTCTACAAGACAAGTTGGATGACTTAGATAATCGCAGCAGATGGAACAATCTCAGATTTCTTGGCTTCCCAGAATCCATAAAGTCTGGAGATATCATTCCCACTCTCCAGTCCTGGCTTTTGGACACCTTGCAACTTGCAACCACCTCTGACCCTCTTCCCATAATCGAACGTGCTCACAGACTGGGCCCAGAAAACTCAGGCAACAGAGCACGACCAAGGCCTATTATAGCTATCTTTTTAAATTTCCATGATACAATACAAATTCTCACAGCTTACAAAAACCTAGGCCCACCTACACATCAAGGAAACAGAATCCTGATTTTCAAAGATTATTCCACACAGGTTACTCAACGACGGCATTCACGTCCATCTGTTCAGCCCTACACAAGACAGGCATTTGCTCTTCTCTATCCTGCAACACTACGTCTCCAAGTTGGTGATAGAAAACTCAACACAACTTCAATGACTGAAGCTTCTGAATTTCTACGAGATGCCCTGCCGGATTGGGACAGAGCTTCTCCTGAGCCTTCCGCCAGCTCCACGTCTGCCCGCGGTCTGCAGTGATGGCATTGTTATCCACACTTAGATTCCCCTGTTGTACATAGTTTAGGCTAACGAGCCCCTGTTTGGCTGGTTTTGCAGCACTCACCGCATACTCCCACCCTGGGATTTATCTGTTTGCTCCGACTGGGACGAACAGAATCCCAACCACAAGCACCTAGCTACGTTTTGCCACTTCCCACGACGGGTATTGGCTAAAATGTTGACCTCTCATTCTACCACAAACACTCCAGCCTCTACCCTTAAGCTTCTCTCTTGGAATGTGAGGGGAGCGAATGCGCCTATCAAGAGAAAAAAAATCTTAACATACCTTTCCAAACATCAGTCTCAAATTGTCCTACTCCAGGAAACCCACTGGTCCCGTTCCGACAACACTCAACTCAAGGCTCCATGGATTCAATCCTACATAGCAGCCAAATACAACTCTAACGCTAGAGGTGTGGCGATTCTCCTACACTCCAGCCTGCAATATGTGATCCACAGCTGTGATATTGATCCTGAGGGACGCTACATTATTTTATGCATTAACAACACGTGTTAATGCATAGTCAATGTTTATGCCCCAAACTCCTCTACCGCTCCCTTTTTTACTAAGCTCCTCACATTGCTCACTCAGATAGAGGTTGATCAGCTTTTAATGGGGGGAGACTTTAACACTGTCCTTGACCCGCACAAGGACAGGTCCTCGGCAGGACCCTTGCCTCCCACGGACAGTGATCGCAGGCTCCTTCAGTTCACAACTTCCTTTAATTTGCATGACCCCTGTAGGATACTCCATGGTAATGAAAGAGACTATTCATTCCACTCTCATGTCCATGACTCCTTCTATCAAATTGATATGTTCCTGGTTACCTCAACAGTTTTACCACATGTCAACTGCTCCACTATAGAGACAATCACCATCTCTGATCACACGCCTGTCACACTACTTCTCTCCACAGAGCCCTCATACCCCTTTACTGCAAATTGGCGCTTCCCAGCGTACCTTACAAAAAAATACATCTTTCCAGTGCCACTTACAGACTAGCTGGGCTAACTTTGTAGATGATAATCTGGAACATGTGGACGATCCTAAATTACTGTGGGAGACATCCAAGGCGGTGATGAGGGGACAGATACTGTCATACACGGCATTAGTCAAAAAACAATGGAGGAGAGACTTCACTTCACTCAAACAGGAGCTCAAATGAGCCCATAGCCACTACTTGGCCAACCCTTCCGATACACATAGGCAGTCATACCAAGATGCCCAACACACCCTAAATACCTTTATAGCAAACCATGCACAATCGAAGCTAGACTTCCAAACACAACATTTCTTTCAGTGGGGTGGAAGGTCTGGGAGATTGTTGGCCCGAATGGCCAACCCTAAGTCCAATGTCAAGCCTATTACAGCAATCACCTCCCCAGACGGGACTAGGAGTACCTCCCATATGGCCATCAACCAACTATTCTATGATTACTACAAAACAATAACTGGAGCACAGCAGGATGACCATAGACATAGCATAGCTTTCCTCAACAGCCTTGACCTTCCCCAGCTGAGTGAGGAGTCCAGGGAACTTCTCAGTGAACCTATCTCGGAGAGTGAAATTCACATAGCAATAAAGACCCTCAAGACAGGGAAAGCACAAGGTCCCGACGGCTTTACCTCAGAGTACTATAAATCCCTGAAACAACAGCTTAGTCCCACTCTCAAAAACTTGTTCAATAAAATATATTTAGAAGGCCTGCCAATAGATGAACTTAATCAAGCCAGAATAATTCTGATACCCAAACCTGACAGGGATGCTGAGAATTTAGCTTCCTATAGCCCAATATCATTACTTAATCAGGACATCAATCTCCTTACCAAAATCATTACTCTGAGAATACAATTGTTTCTGCCACTGACACTCACCTCTCACCAACTAGGCTTTGTGCGAGGCAGGCAGTGTGTGGGCACACCTGATTAGGGTGTTAAAGTTGATATACTTTGGTCACACATTTGTCCATTTTATTCAAAATTTACACCATCACCCCACCACCTGTTTTACTACAAATGGCCTGGACTTACCATACTTTGCCCTGGAGAGGGGAGTGCGCCAGGGCTGCCCGCTCTCGCCTCTGGTATTTAATCTTGCCATCGACCTGTTACTGAGAGCATTGAGAAGCTACAAGGGTTTAGGGGCATACCGATGGGTGACATTACACTGAACGTCACAACATTTGCTGATGATCTGTTACTCTTTATCACTGACCCACGGTGCTCCCTGACGCCCCTTGTTGACTTGCTGGAAACATTTCGCGACATGGCGGGCCTAAGGGTCAATTGGGCCAAATCATGTGCCATTCACTTGAGTGGACGCCCTCCGCCACCACTCCCTTGAGGACTTTCTCTGTAGTGGCAATTGAGGGCGCTTAAATATCTTGGCATTAAGGTCCCTAGAGATCTCTCCCTCATATATAAATTAAATATTCCACCAATCTTAACAGCCATCTTAGCAGAGTTTGAACACTTGCACAAGTTGCCTTTATCTTACATTGAAAGGGCCAATCTATACAAATTGGTTAGTTTTCCTAAACTGTTATATCCCCTCTAGATGCTCCCAATATTCCTCTTGAAAAGTGACGAGTGTTGAACAAACATCTTAGACAATATCTCTGGCAGGGTCGTAGGGCACGCCTTAGCCTTACCAAATTAAACTAACACAGGGATGATGGTGGTCTAAACCTGCCTAATGCGGGGGGATACAGTTTGGCAGCACAGCTTAGACATGCGCTAGACTGGATTCAATCTCAAAAGAGATTTTCTAACTTGTCCTTGGAGTCCTATCTGGCATCACCGAACCCACTCGTGGCTCTCCTTCACAGGCCACACCACCTTCTCCCTGACCATATCCTATCTAATCCCCTCCTAGCTACCCCTATCAGGGCATGGAAACCAGGGTTTCCATTGCCTAACAAACGATTCCTCCTCATCATGGCAGTGGAGGGACACAAAGCCATCCTGCAGGTCTGGAACCAGCCGCTAGCACCCACCATGGAGTTATTGCTTGCTTTTGTTTTTAAAATAGATTGGTTGGACACAGTAACTAACAAAGAACTCCTCGCCAAAAAATTTATCTTGACCTGGAGATCATATAATCTCACCCTAGACGAATCTTTCAAGACAAAGGTGAAAACCACTTTGGCATACACGGCATGGTTCTCGGCTGAGGTGGTGGCGGGTTGAGATCCCCTGGCAGTAATTCCTTGATGGGCTTATCTCAACCTATCCCCGAACACTGGCTTACCATTGAGCTGAAGGCTAAGGCAAACCGACAATTAGTTTACTATGTTCTGTTTAATTTAATTTAGTTTGGTCTTACAATTCATGCTTTGGTAGCAGAGCACTGGAACCACAGACCTTCTTTGGTGTACCTTCTTTTGCTCTTAACTGTTAAACTGCAAACTATTGTATGTTTCATTGCCCTGAGCAGCAACAACTCATAATCCCTGATCCACACAAGTGGCATCTCAGAAGATCTGGCAATGGCTGAACCTGCCGGACACCCACATCTAAAGGTGACTGTCTAAGCTCAACCTCCTCCTTATTAACAATGACCCATATGGTTTGGTAACTCTTATTTGCTTTTTCTGTTTTGTTTATGTTGAGAAAACTGCAAAATAGTGAATGTAACTTACCGAATAACAGCTTAAAAACATAAATGATAATGTCACTTGTGTTATATCCGTGTACCATGCATTCACAATAAAAATGGTTTTGGAAAAAATATGGCTTCCATGCTGATGTTCCCAAGTTCTGTCCATAGTCCCTGATTTCCACCCAGATATTCCAGATTGAAATGCTTATCCAGCCATCTCTCACTATGCACTATATATTTCCAATTCATCATTTTTACTCAGTCATGAACCATAATGTTTTGCTGGCTCTAGATCATCTTGACTCTAACGGTGGTGCTAGATTCTGAGTCAGACACATGTATTGCTTACATGCTCATTCTCTCCTCACCCAGCCAGAATTACCATTTTATATTCCCATAACAATTATTCATCCAGCAATAACATCTCATTGTACCCTAACCTCCTAATTATTCTCCAACCTGGATGTTTTATTAATTATACTAATCTCTGATTCTGATGGTTACATTCTTACTGGTTTATCTCTTAGTTTTGTATATATTCAAGAAATTCTCTCAGTATATTTGGAAATATGAACAGATAAAAAAAAAATCAGGCTTTTTATTGAAGTTTCATTGTCATTTATTGCTTTACAAAAATACATTCATTTGTCCACTTCAATCCTTTTTCTCTACAAGAGTAAACTGCTTGACTTGGCATTGCTGGTACCTCCTAGAAGATAGAGAGAGCCTGGGGTCCTAATCACATCCTACTCTCCCAGGCTATGCAAACGAGATGGGAGCTGTAGTCCACTGCATCTGAAATATTTCGGTTTACCTGTCCTTGTCCGGTAGTCCTAGGATTAATGTTCATTGTAAACCATTCTCGACTAAACGTGAATAAATGCATCATTCTTTTTTTTTTTTAATTTAACCAGGAAGATATCTTAAGCACCAACGTAAAAAAACAAAAACATCTTTATCAAATATAAACTAGGCATCATTGTAACACTGCTCAATAGGTGCCACAGTCCACAGTGCATATTCTGGGATCTCCAAAGATTTTGTAATTTCAATTTTTTAAAGGCAAAATTGTGGCTAGATTTGTTCTTCTACCCATTGTACTGATGAAAATGATTGGACATAGGAGTTTATCACCAAGGTAGGAATATTTGAAAATTCAGAAAGGAACGTCAAATGTTGGGCAAAACCCCCTCCCCCCAAAAACAACTCAGTTGAAGATGTTTACCAATTTAAATGTTTGTCCTAAAATATGCAATTCCTGGACTATTTCCACAACTTAAATTCTAGTGAGTAAACCTCATGGTTTGAGGTGGTATATATGTTTAAGCTACAGGATGTTCCAAGAAAAAACCACAGAAAGACATGATATCGATTACAATAGATTGCTGTTGTGCTAAAATGTGTTTCATAATGTTACATTACATTTATGTTTTCTGTTGACCTGGAGGTATATGGCCACAGTAATAATTTTTTTCAGTTTTATAAAAAGGGCAGCATTATATTAGAGAACTGCAACTCTTTTATACAATTTGTAAAATTTACTTATTTCAGCTGTGAAGAATGCATTTTGAATATGTGTGCTGAGAATCTGAGAAAAACATTAGCACTCATCTGGTGGACCCTGGCCAGTGAACATTGTTCTTAGCCCCTGAATCTGGACCCAGAGTCTTCATGCCAATTTACAGTGTTCCCAGTGGATGCTGCAGTCAAATATTACTGATCAGGCCCAAAGCAAGTGCACCTGATGGTATACCATAAGAGTGGTGTCTTCACTGTTATAATAGGAACCTCTAACATTGGAAAGGGTATAATGAAAGTGTTTAACATGTTATTATATAATCAGTTACCAAAAGAATTTCATAATTGCAGAAATGTTGCACAACTAATAAGGTAATGCCTTGTAAATAATTTGGGTCCCTATGTAAAGGGGTTAATAGACATGGGTCTAGGTATTGAGTTGATAGCGAAGCTGTGTTTTTGTTTTTTTGTTTCGTTAAAAAAAAAAAAGCAAATAAACAAAACAAACTAAAGACTTTGGAGGTTAAACCAAATTGCAGCAAGGTAAAGTATTGAGTAAGGTATTGGTGGATTTAGTACACGCAGAGATCTATGTTCCACTTACAAACACATGCATATGCAACATATGCATATTGCATATCAATTTTGTAAAGTTGTAAAGCTCCCTTATTTAAGCTATTGATTAATACAAACCTGTAATGGCAAGTCCACTTTAATATAACCCTCCCCACGCCTGACCATGCAATGAAGTGATACTTTATCGCAGAAATACATTATGTATCCAATGTAACATTTTGAGATATTAACTCACATTATCTTTGGTCCATCACCATGATGTCCTCAGATATGTGGGTGTTATGGTTCTGTATCACCCTCCTCTAGCACATTCTTGCTCCACCGCTTTCTTCTTTGATTTAATCTGCTTGGGAACAATCTAACTTCATTGCCAGCATACTGACATCAGACCAGAGTGAGTCAGTCACTCTGACCCTTTACTCCCTAGCCAGTGCTAGTGCATCGACTATGAAGAAAACATTGCAAGCGTATCTATGCTTGGATAGCAGGAGCCCTACCTGCAAGAGATGTCTCCAACTCTCCCTGTCACTCAATTTAAAGAATTGATTCACAGGTGGAAGAAAGACTGATTTATATATAGGTAGTTCTCCCAATCTACACATTTGCAAGCATTATGTATAGATAGAATTTCAAGCTCTTTAAATAGAGCACAAGCAGTGTGTACCATCACAGGTAAACTTCAACATTTCATTATTCAAATGGATACACAACTGGTTAAAAAAATTACTTATCCTTAATAACATCCGTTTAATAACTTTAATTATTTCAAAGGGACATTCTAAGTACCATGACCACTAAAACTCATGAGTTTTGGAGGTTATGGTGCTTGAAGTCTAATTGCCACCACCCGGAAATGCCACCACCATGTCTTCTTTTAAATCATTGTGCTGCAGATTGACCAAAACCACAGAGTATCCACAAAAACATTGCAAAACCCACTGCGCTAATAAGTTATCAGCTCAAACCTGTCCAACCTTGGACATCAATAATAGTGCCAAGCAAACCTAGAGTAATGGTTCTTAACCTCTGGGTCAAGAATCTCCATTCAACAGTCAGATCATATTTATCATGTTCCAAGGTGCGGCCAACAATGACTGCACACACGTAATTGTGCAGAACGAGTGATGCATGTCCCTTTAAGAAGGAACAATTATGGATAATGTTTACTAGACTGCATGTGCTTTTATTTTTCCCCAACTGTCTAGTTGGAAAGTGAACCTTATCACGTTACAAAAGGTATCTGACATATTTTTGCTGGGTGCGTCATGCAGAAATTATATGCTGCAAGAGTTACATTAAGTTATTACAGTTTGTACTGTGGGATACCTGCTATGCTTAATAACCTGATGTCACTCTTTTACTTTTAGAATTCTACGTGGAGTATTTCATGCACTGCCACCATGGGTGTTGCTAGGGGTGGAGGGTTTTGGTGGCTGAAGGGTTGTAGGGTTCTTCAGCCCTGATTCTTTACAAATGGTGGAAGGGACTGGAATATTTTTTTTAGTCTTACATGAGGCAGCTGCTTTCCTAAGCAGTTGCCCATTATAAAAAATAAAAAAAGCATATTGTTTTTCCAGGTGACTTATGGGAGGAAGTGGTGCACCCCCAGATGACTGTTATAAGTTATTGAGGAACAGAGGTTTGCCGCATACGTACCCCTGTATTAGTTACCTAATGTGGTGGGAACGCTTTTAATAATACTTGGCTGTGCATTTTTATTAAGATACTGGAGAGATCATCAGCATGCTGATCATGGGTAGAGAGGAGGTGACATAACTTAAAAACACAGGGATATGCAAGCCTCTTGATTTAAGGGTCCTCTACCACCATTCACCCTTAGTTCTCTGGTGTCCTGCATCTGGGGATACCAGGGAGCTGTCCCCAGGCAGCACAGAATGAGTGTGTCAATATATATGCTCAGGCTGTAAAAGAGGCACAATTACTACATAGGGAGAGCTTCAGTAACACTTCCTGCATGGTCCTGAAGGTTGGGGGCCGGTCAAGGAGCTTGCAAGATGTGGTGGTGGGTTTGTTTTACTAATGATACCCTCTCAGGGCCATGCCCACCATGTCCCAGTTTTTCTCTCTCAAATGTTGGAGGTATGGATATGTCAAAACGTGATAACCCCTATCTCTCTGTTAATATAGGGGTTATCAAGTTTTCCTTTGGACTTGACATATTTCTGGAACATAGGAACACCCCAGTACGGCAGTACATGCACCCACGCTATGAATATAAATCTGTCCTTGCCTCCCTACCTACATGGCCTTTTCATTTTTAACCCAAAATGTATGTTTGTTCACTAATTGTCGTGAACTGAAAACTGAACTGCACACTTCCAATCAATCCAAAATCTCATGGAATGTCTCGAGTTCAGTCTCCTGTCCCACCACTTCATATCTGGGAACACGAGGGAACTGTGCCCATCAAGCACAATGTGCATGCATCATTATAAGTATGTGGGCTGTGGGCTAAATTCTCTATTCTTCTTCTCAACCAAGATTTTCAACAAATCTGCTGTTCATCCCTCATGCACTATAGAACTGGAGAAAATCTATTGTCCAACTTTGTTCAGGTGATATATATGGAATATATATTCTGCAGGATGCATTGTTTATTTGCTTCCCCATATAAGGGGAGTATATGGTCACCGTCTCACTATCTAAACTACTAATATTACAGACACATTCTCATGCAGGTAGCCTGTATTTAAATTTAGTGTTTTGTTTGTTTTTTACTATATATGCTGATCGCATTTGACTTTTTTTATTTGTTTATTTTATGCTGAAGCTTTTTTTCCCTTCATATTGTTTAGTGTATATTAAAAGCATTATGTAAATACTTGGCATTAGCCAGAATAGTATATCATATTTTCCTTAAACTAGTTTGTAAGAGTGCAAATGCTTGCCAGGCACATTGAAACATTGGCACGCTAGTCCCTCTAAATAACAACTCTCTACTTAATTACGACAAGAGCTATAACAGATAGCAGTTAGAATAACAGGAACTGTCAACACTTATGCCGAATAATCAGTAATGCTTCTAAAAAGGTTCCTAATATCAGTGGTGAAAGTACCAGGGTCACTACAGTTGCTATGGCAACCGCATAAGGGCCCAGGTTGGTTGGGCTCTCCTTTGCAAAAGTGTTATTTAATATAGGGCCTTTTTGGCAATAAAAGACTTTTAAAGTTTTTGAGGCAGTTCTGGCAGTTCATGGCAAAGCTCTGACTCATTGAATGAGCACCAAACGGAGGGAGTGTGTACTATGGGTTGCACCTGTTAGAGGTGCAGACCACACTCTCCTCCACTGGACCAGGGACCCCAGGGAACCTGCTAGCACTCACTGGATCACCAGGTATTAAACTGCCCTACATGCATAAAGGTAAGCAGGATGGGGTTTAACAATAGACACAGTCATACTCCCACACACTATCACAATCAACCAACTACCCACACAATCACATTCAACCACTTCCACACAATCACATTCAACCACTTCCACAGTCAGCAATCCACACATACAATCAAACTGACACATAAGGCGAAGGAGGGCTAAAATGGGCAGGGAGTAGAGGGGAGGAATGAAAGAAAGGTTTGAGGGACTTTCACGGGTCCCTGCTGTTTAACTTTACACCCCTCCCTAACATCCTTCTCTTTTTACTCACAAAGGTCCAATACAAAATTTCTATTTAACATTTATCAGTCATGCCCTGAAAAAATAATACAAAAGATGAAAAGTGGAGAAATTACCATCGAAACCCATGGAACCAACCGGCACATTAAAGGGACAATGCAGTCACCTGAATAACTGCAGCTTAATGTACTTATTCTGGTGTCTACAGCATGTCCCTGCAGGTTTTTTCAGAGAAAATGCAGTGTTTCACTCAGACAACCACTAGATATGCTTCCTGGGTCTGCAAAGAGATGCTGAACACTCCCCATAGAGATGCATTGACTCAATGCATCTCTATGAGGAGATGCTGATTGGTGTAGTGCAGCGTTTCGCCACGCTTGTACCATAGCATCTGGGAAAGCATTGGCTTGGTTGAGATTCTAAAAATTGTGAGTAAAAACACTTTTTTTCAAGGCAGGCAAAGGGGCCAGACACCTAATTAGTAATTTTAACACTAGAGTGTCAGGAATACATGTTTTTGTTCTTGACACCATAGTATTTCTTTAAGCAGGATAAATGGTGACTTTTACATATCTGCATCACTTTGCAGAATATCTATAAATCTTCCCAGAGTGCCTAATAACAACCTGTTCCATAACGTACTCCATTACTAATCCCAGATGACCATGAGACAATGAGAACCACGAGTGTCCTCTCCTGATTGTCAAATCCCATGTACATCTTTCTATTCACTATGTTACATTCTCAGTTTAGCCTTTTCAACAATCATTATACTAATTCGGTTTTTACTTCACCAAAATTCAGTTAATTAAAAATGAATCCCAGCAGTCAGTTCACAAAGCAACGTTATGCTAGTAGCAAATATGAAACCGATAGGATTATTCACTAAACTCAAAATTATAGCGAAACTAATTTTGAACGGCAAAATATAGCCCCAAAATAACCAAAATCTAGAAAAATTCTTTTGGAACTTTACCATTTCAGACTTTAATTTGCTACAATTCAGAGCTCAGTAAAGCACTCACCATATATTAAAGCATTTTCATTCTGGAAACAAGCAATATTACCTCCTGGCTGCAAGATGGTTAATATAAACCTAATTATCTTTACATTTCTATGAACATGCCAGCTCTGACCTCAAGATTTCTTTAATGCTGGTTATTTTTGTGCCAAATTCCATTGTTTCCAGCAAAAAAATATATATATATTTTCCACTGAAATCAATGCATTTTGTAGAAATTAACCCATTCATATTACTGTCACAGCCACCACAAACAATTTATAAAAGACAAGAACAAATCAGCATCGCAAATGTATTGAGGATGATTTAGCATGCAAGAGGTCGGAGCAAGAGTCACAGTGTATAAAGAAAATGACAGGTTTAATACTGATGGCATGTGATTGGTTTCCATTAGTTTTAGATTAGGTAAATTGATTAGATTAAATTAAGAATATGGGGTTATTCACTAAGCCACAATTTCTTTTTTTTTTTAAAGGATATGCAAATTTAAGGCCAGAATTGCAAAACTGGAATCCTTCTCCAACTCAACTCAGACTTTTTCAGTTTAGCTATAAAAACCTAAAATGCACAATTTCTGCTTGTGTATGTATAAACAAGAAAGAAAGAATTCCATTGCTGCGTTAGCAAATCGAGTAGATGGATGTCTTTATTCACTGGAGTAGGACTTTTTTTAAAACTTTGGGTCACAAATCGCTGCATTTCACTTATTAGTGAATAAACCCTTTGGAGTGGTAGATACACACAGTTTCTACAGAGAAACTAAACGCTTTCCAATGTTGCTCACAGGGTGAATAATCACGACCATGGCATTTTAAATTTTGGGCCAGGATATAAGATTTTGGTGCTTTTAAAATTGCAGGTCAATTATTGACAATTCATGGTTTGGTGAATAGACCGGATAGACCTCCTAGAATTATTTACTAATGGGTTTATACACTAAACTCCAGTCTGTGATGAGCAGCAATCTGAGATATTGAGTAACCCTGTAAGCTGGGACTGTACCCAAACGGAAGACTGTTTTTACCCAAACCAGCTAGTTTAGCCTGCATTTTGCCATCCGAGTCTCAAAATGCTGCAATTCAAAGTTCAGTGAATATAGCTTTAAACTCTAACATTTAGGTTAAAACATGAAAGAAGTGACTAGTTCTAGTTTAACATTTGGGCAGTTTGAAGTTATCACTAAGCATCGTGGTTTTAAGCAAAGAATCTTAGACAAAATTCATGAAGCTTGAATACTGCAGTGTGCATTTGGTATAAGCATTCCTGATTAAAACCACAGTATTGCCATAACCACCTTGCATGTCTTAATTAGGATGGAATACTGACAAGAAATGAATACTTCAGGGATGTATTTAAATACAGATAGCAGTCTTCATTTCCCTACTGCAAACCTGAAGTATGCATTTGTTATAAGTGCAACTAGTTAGAACAGTAAGGTGGAAATCCAAGACATCGGCCTTGCAGTAAGCCAACATTTGTAAGAAGGCAACTCTAAAAGCTTAAAAATGATTTTCAATCAAATAATAAATCATTGATGTAATCATCAACGTCTAAAAGGACCCTACCCAGCAGCCTAAACGAGAGTTTTTAGCAAATAAATGTCTCTAGAAGTTTGCTGGACATACACCACTTTTACATACTGATGGGCTGCACATGACAAATGATGCAGTACTGCACGTAGAATTCATTTGCTCAGGCGGGGAATGAAATGTAATAATCATGACAATTCTTATAGGAAGGATTCTTATTTGACTAAATGATTTCATTCCTGTAAGACAGAAATTCTGCATTCATTTCCGCCCGAAAGACATAGGGAAAGTTGTAAATGGGAGTTTTAACATAGGTGGGTTAATAAAATGACTAATCTATTATTATGATTTTGCAATAATATCTCTGAATTATTTGTAGGGGAGTTCTTAAAGGACAGGAATTTGGGGAAACCCTCAAGTCACCAGTCTCACGATTCCTAACCCATCAGACGCATTTGATGAAATTAAATCAATCTTACACTGGGAACATACATTTCACATACAGGTAGGGAGCATCCAATAGAAAGCAGCTGCATTTCATAAGGAATGCCACTCTCCCTACCGACTGATTCAGTTGAGAAGCAAATCATGCAGGAATCTATGCACGAACATCAAACTGTAGTGAATTGGAAAACAAAATTTAGGCAAAATGTGTTGATCTGGAAAACATCTCCAACTACACCTTTTGTCACCACTTGGTTATTTGAGCCTAGATTTCAGCAATCTGTTTCGCCACAGTTTAGTGATTGCACTGTGTCCCTCATTCTACATTTGTATATTGATGATACTAATAATAGTAGGTGAAGCACAGGAAACATTACTCTACAGGCTCTGGAGCAGGGGTACCCAAAAGGTAGATCACCAGATATTGTAGAACTACAACTCCCATGATGCTTTGCATGCCTTTACAATGACAAAGCATCATGGAAATTGTAGTTTTAAAACTACAGCTTCCATGGGGATCTACCTTTTGGGCACCCCTGTTCTAGAGTAAACACTGTAACAATATTTACCATCTAGTACCCAAACAGTAAAATAGGGTGTAGAACCTCAGCACCTCTACATTTGGGCTCCAGTTTCCATAATCTCTGATTGGAAAAGCCTGGTGAAGAATTATGAGAGTGTTAGTCCAGAAACAGCTGCAAGGTCACAATCCGTCATCTATGGTGTAAACAGAAGATGTCATTACACTAATGAAATTACATGTCACCAATCGTTTAAAACGGATCTTGGATTTCATGTGGTTTTGTATTTCTCAGAAGAAAATACATAGTAGAACTCTCAGAATTCTATATCTCAATGATCTTACCTATGTATTATTGGTTGTAACAATGGTTAGATTGAATTATTTTGCACAAAGTTTACAAATAGTGCTTAATATCCAAAGCCTATAAAACATGGTGCATTAGAAATTGAAGATATGGTTTTCATCCTAATTCTGCCACAGCTGTAAGTTAAGCACCGGGCAAAGTCTATGGCTTGAGCATTTTGTCTTATAAGTACAAAAATAGGTTTAAGGCCCAAAGGACTTTGCCATGATTTGATCACTAACGAGGAGTGATGTCAGTAAACAGATCCTAAGTACCTTTACACTGCATCTTGCACTCATGGTATCCATGGTCCCAAGTGCCTTTGAGCCTGATGAAGGGCAAATTCAATGAACACAGTGTGCAGAATAATATATTTCTCAGGCACTTGCGATATAGCTTGTATATAACAACCAAATGTTTAATGCGATGCTTGTTATGTCCCTCAGAAACGGATTCCTGGAGTTTCTAGCAAAGTCAGATCTAAAAGTTTATTGATTATCCTATAAAATGGCAATGTAGTTTTTTTTACTGACAAAGGGTTCTGTCAGCGATTAGTATTGCCAAGGACCAAAAGCCGAGTCTAACAACAAATGGAGACAAAAAAAAAAAAAACCCCAAAGGGTTTCATATTTTGATGCAACGTGTTCTCAATATTTTTTTGCTTTTTGTTTTTCTACTCCTCAACTTGCAGTCCATTCATGGAAGACTTAATCGTTAAGAGTTCAATACGATCGCATCGTTATTGTAAGCAAGGAATTAAAATGCGATTGCAGTAAAATAGTGCAAGGCATTGACAAGAGCATGGAAAGGCAGAGAAGGGAACTGCTTTAGCAGCATTACAGACGAGAGTTAATCAGTCAGCTGTCCAGGGAGCATGCAGTACATTGAAAAGTGAGAATTTTTATAGGGAAGCGTAATGGGCCATGTGAATCAGATAGAGCGCTATAAAATAGCTTGCGTAATGGGAATCCTATGAAACATAGACAGAATATTAAACAAATTTGTGGACAAAAGGGTTCTGCAGTAGATTGGTGCAGAGGTAAGGATGCTCAGCCGTACAAACCACAGGCATGGAAAGCATTGCACCATGCAAGTGGGACAAACCAAGTCATCAAATAATTGAATTTAAATAGAGTAATTACAGGCCCCTGTACATACACAGACATACAATAGCATGGGCTTTTACCCATTAAGGAGTAATAGATTTACAAGGAGCTATTCTGGATTTTTTCAAATAACTTTCTGATTTTCTAGAAATGTGTTTGAAGAATTTAGATGAGTTACCTTACATAATCCCCAGCACGTTAACAGTTACTGTAGAAAACGAGCTTCTACACCACTGGGGTACCAATCACTGTAACCCATTAAAAGCCCATTCAGCACCCTAGGGGGAATAATAAACAGATCATTTAGGCGATAATTGCCAAATGGATATTTTCATGCAATTTAGATAAGGTGAACATGAGAATCAACTATAATTTGATGTTTAGGTAGATTTCACAGTGGAAATTGTAGAATAGTAAAATGGTATAATGGATACTGAAGGGGTGTAAAGTGATAAGTACTGAAAAGTAGTATATAGCTGATTGTATTGCAGCATGGACAATAATAGGATATTTAAGGGACGGGTAATACAGGACAGTAAGAGGGCATTTGAAGGTATTTAGGAGAACGTACTGTTGAAGAGCAAGAGGGTATTTAATTTAAGTGAAATGTACTGGAGGAGGAACAGTAAAATGCAATTTAGGTAAAATACTGCATGATAGAAAGTAAGAGTGTATTTACAGCGGGTTAGGCAGTAAGTAGATGTGACATAAAGAGGGTACTGTAGGATAAAGAGTAAGATAATATCTAAGTAGTATGGACTGCAGAATGGACAGTAAGTGGGCATTTAAAGATATAGACAAGATGGACAATAAAGGTATATAAAGTGACAGTAGTGTAGTATATACAATAAAATGGTATTTGAAGTGATAGGTACTGCAGGACAGGCAGGCAGAGGATATTTAAAGAGATAGGTACTGCAGGACATGCAGTAAGATGGTATTTAAAGTGATAGGTACTGCAGGACAGGCAATCAGAGGATATTTAAAGTAATAGGTGCTGCAGGACAGGCAGTGAGATGGTATTTAAAGTAATAGGTGCTGCAGGACAGGCAGAAAGATGGTATTTAAAGTAATAGGTGCTGCAGGACAGGCAGTAAGATGGTATTTAAAGTGATAGGTACCGCAGGACATGCAATCAGAGGATATTTAAAGTAATAGGTGCTGCAGGACAGGCAGTAAGATGGTATTTAAAGTAATAGGTGCTGCAGGACAGGCAGTAAGATGGTATTTAAAGTAATAGGTGCTGCAGGACAGGCAGTAAGATGGTATTTAAAGTGATAGGTACTGCAGGACAGGGAATCAGAGGATATTTAAAGTAATAGGTGCTGCAGGACAGGCAGTAAGATGGTATTTAAAGTGATAGGTACTGCAGGACAGGGAATCAGAGGATATTTAAAGTGATAGGTGCTGCAGGACAGGCGGTAAGATGGTATTTAAAGTGGGGCTGCAAAGTAGATAGTGAGAGTTTTTTTTAAGAAAGGTGGGTTAGTGGTGGGATCTTTAAGTTGGGGGTTAGTGGAGGGTTTCTTATGGTGGGTATCAGTAGAGGTTACCGATGTTGAGGGTCTGTGAGGACCCCCCATGTAGTTGATCATTGTGGAGGTCTTCATTAAGTTGGTTAGTAGCAGTTCCTTATATATGGGTCAATGGGGAGTTCTCATGTAGTTGGTCGGTATGGGATCCCCATTTTGGAGTTCTTTGGAGGTGTTTCCTCATTTTGGGGGTCAGTAGAGGGTTCCTTATGGTGGGTATCAGTAGAGGATACTGATGTTGGAAGTCAGTGAGGTCTACCCATGTAGTTGGTCATTTAGTTAATCAGTATCAGTTCTTTATGTTGGGGTCAGTGAGGACCCTAAGTAGTTGGCTAATGAGGACCCCCACCCCATTTAGTTGGTAAGTAGCCGTTCCTTATGTTAGGGGTCAATGGGGAGGTTTTATATAGTTGGTCAGTAGGGGGCTCCTCATTTTTGGGGGTTTCTTTGTAGGTATCTCCTCATCTTGTGGTTCTTTGCAGGTGTCTCCTCATTTTGGGGTGTCAGTGGGGGGTCTGGTTTGCTGTGGCCCCTTCCTCTCTCGCAGGACACACGGGGACCTGTGTGACGGGCAGGATGAGCTGGCTGCCGGGTGCCATGGACTCCTCATAGGTGGGCAGGTACTTGACCTCCTCGTAGCTGGGCAGCTGCAGGAAGGCCGGGGAGGAGATGACCCGCAGTTCGTGCTGTCTCCGGACGCTGTCTATCAGGGAGTCCTGCGAGCTGGTCTCGTTGAGCAGCCCCCCCGGCCCCCGGTGGCCCCTGGGCGGCTGGCGGGAGTACCTGCGCGGGCTGGGGGGGCAGATCATGCGCTGCAGGAAGTATCCGATGGCGAAGAGGACGAGTAGGATGAGCAGCCCGGACAGCTTCCGCACGAACCAGCCCACGTTGTCCAGGAAGGTGTGGAAGGGCAGCTGGCAGCAGCGGATCTCCGTGTGGCTCACGTTGCCCAGGACGCAGCAGCCCTCCCGGTCCCCGCACAGGAGATCCCCACAGCTCCAGCCAGCCTGGGACCCCTGGCAGCACAGCAGCACCGCCGCCACCAGCACTGAGCCCTCCGGACAGCCCATCACGGCGGCACCGACCTCTCCTCCGCCAAGGGCGCAGCGAGGAGCACACTGCAGGCAGCTACTGTCACCAGCCGCACGGTCCGCCAGCCAGGCACCCTCTCTCACCAGCCGCAGCAGACTCACATCTTGCTGAGCCTTTGGGGAGGGGAGCTGGAGACCAGGACAGCTGATGGCAAAGACACAGGAGGAGGAGGTGAAGGAGTCTCTTCTTAGGGTTTCTTCTTGCAGTGACCTTGGACGCAGACGACTTGATCATGTTAGGAGAGTGCTGCTGGTGAGGTGCAGAGCAGCTTCCCATTTCCAACACCAGCATCATCATCACCATCATCATCATCATCACTGGACTGAGACCAGAGAGAGGAGAGAGACATGACAATTAGTGCTGTTGTC